GTGTGAAACTAAGTAGAAGTGAGAACCTCGAACTCTTTTACGATCGATGCTGCAACCGTATGGTCCAATACTACTAACACTTTACAAGATTAGGACTGAGAGCCTCTATGTTTCATTAGGTACGACAAGGATCTCTACTGCTTCCTTCGCAAACTAAATCATTGTTTAGTGACCTCTTTTTGGAGTTTTGGCAATCCGAGATTTACTCGTACCATTCTTCATTTCTAGTCAAGTGCTTCCAGTTACACAACTAACGAAAAAGTTTAAGCTACAATTTATTCAGACCGTAGCTGCCACCTTGACGTAGTGGTTAGGCTTGCCTGTCATGATGACTCAACAGAGCCAATATTGGCTGAGACACGTTATTTTAGATCCGACCGTGCCAGGCAGTTCGGTCAAAGAACGGTAAGACTAAAAGCAAGAAATTAAGGCCTAAGTGAGAAGTCATATTGCTGACCGTCGACGGGTGTGACAGCAGTGAGGTGTTTCCCTCGGACAACCAACATTTACAGCAATTCTATCTTCTCAAAACGGATGAAGGGGTTAGAAAAGGTCAACCCTAAAAATGTCAAACCTCAACTTATCCTACAGATTAACGTCTCCAGCATTAAGGCCTTGTGAAGTGCGGAGCTAACACATCAAAAACTTCCCATAAAAAGGCCGTGCGCGACTGACCTCATGTAGTTAATCCATATGCTTTGTAGCCACACTGCCAGGTTTTTGTGACCACCACTTCTCTAGCTTCCTCCTCAGGTCGCTCACGAAGAATTGTCTCCTCACGGTGTTGGGACCCGGGCAGTGACAATCGGCTTCATACCTCCTATGGCACTCGAGATCGTTTCGTTCATGATCAAACCCTTCCCTCAGTATTATTAATCCCCCCGTCCCTACGACTAACCTCATCGCATATCTTTATCACTACAGGCCACAAATGGTAATGATTTGAGTTCACGAAGTGTTATTTCCGGTTTCCTGAAACCACCCTCTAAACTACGTGTCAACGGTTTTAATATCCGAACCGTGTTAGATTGGACAATAGGCTTCTTTAGTTAGAACTCTTGAATATTGTTCAATCGATTTATGCTGCTTCACCAAAAAACGCATAAAGAATCCAAGTGGTCACTTATTTGACCTCATCTTGTTAATATGAAGAACCGGCACGATTTACCCTTCACGTAGCTGGAAATCCCGCCGCTACTTTCCGTGGCCTAGCTGGTGCGGCCATAGTATTAAGTTCGAAAGCAGAACAGATCCTGTTAAACTTAATTTAAATAAACGGTCACTTGTGCGCTGTCCGACTAAACGGGACAGTAAGACATATGCCATCCTCTCTTCCTAATCTCCCCTTGATTGCAGCCCAGATGAAGTTAAAATTGAGTTTTATAGGGAGCTATCCAACCTTATTCAAAAAGTTAAACACTGATTCAGTAATGGTGGAGAGGGATTTTAATGGTCAAGTAGGTGCACTAAAACAAACCGAAACACAAGAAGATGGGTCTTAAGGTGTCACGGCTCAGCGAACAGACAATAGAGACCATCCACTGCAACTGTGCTTGGATAACCGTCTATTTCTAGTAAGCACCAATTATAAGCACAGGGAAAAATATCATTTGATGTGATGTTCTCACAATTGACTTACACAGACCACACTGCCATCAGCCATCGTTTGAGAAGCTTGATAAAACACTCTCCTATTCGGTAACATGTATAGACTCAGATCATGGTCTAGTTCGAGCATATGTCTGCATCTTACTGGATATAAAAAGCCACGGCGATAAAACCCCCCTAGAGTTCAAATTCATGATAGAATAATTAGGAATATATTTCGGGAACAATCCGAGGATTTAGTCAATCATAAAATTGATACCTAGCCTGAAGCAACTTAGCACGATATCCAAAAAGCCGTGAAAACAGAAGTGATATCTACTAGTAATTTAAACGAACCATTGGATTTCAGAAGCGTCTGCTGAATTGATAGATACTCGGTAATACATCTCGTCTGACTCCGAACACGATGAGGAGCGAAGAAGGCTTCAACGTAGGCCGATAAAAGGCCTACGCAGTGATTATGAGCAGTGGTGGGAAGCGAAAGCAGAGATGAAAAAGACAACAGCGATAGATAACAGCAGACAAATATTCGGACTTATCAAGGAAACAAGTTGAAGATGCCACGGGTATTTGTAGTTTAATAATACCAACCAGCAACACCTATAATTGAATCGTGCTTATCCAGTAAAGTCAGAAGTGAGAAGGTTCGAAGATATATTTGATAGGCTATCAATATATAGAGAAATAACTGATCTATACTGGCTAGCTGTTTCAGAAGTTGAGCACGGCGTTCTCACTCGTGCAGATGCGTGACCGAGTGACTCCAGCTAGATGAGTCGATTAAAACTAGTGTGGTCAGCATCAAATGTTGAAGACGGGACAACTATTCCTTCTCAATCGAGGAGATTGAACAGATAGAACACTTTAGAGAACAGTTCAACTGGCCTTCAGCCACACTACAGTTACCCAAACGACATGAATGACGAATCGATGCAAGTCCCCCAACGGTTAGTGAAATTGAAAAGGCTATAAGCGATCTAGAGGGATGGAGAGCAGAAGAGTCTGATGGACTAACCTCTGGGATGGTGGTCCAGTTTTAAGTTAGATTAATTGAACTCTTAGCTTAGTTCTAAAAAATGGACGTTATCTCATATGATCTTAATGATTCTAGTTTATAAAAAAGGACAAAAATCTCCTTATGACAATCACACAGGAATTAGTTTAACCAATAGTGTCTAAAATATTAGCCTCAATAATATTACGACGCCAAACTAGAGTTTGTGAAGAGCACACCCAAGAAAACCAGGTTTATTTCAGACCTGGACGTGGATGTATGAACCAATTATTCAACTTTCCTCAGGTTCTGAGAGATACTTTTCGACTATAATTATATTCCTTGACACAAAGTGGCGTTCGACACTGTTGATCGTGAGGTTCTGTGGCAATGTCTGTCGTTAGAAGCTGACCAAAGAAATACGACAAACTTGTACAGACTCTCTACGTAAACACCAACGGTGCAATCAAAGCTTATGGCGTACTTTCGTCGAAATCAGTTACTTCAAGTGATGTTTGCCAGGGTTATCCGCTTTCCCTATTTTTCTTTAACTCGGCCATATACATTCTTTTAAATATAACAATTTCATCGTCCGACTTTTCAGAGATTGATCTTTCACCAGGAGATACACCTATTGATGGAAGTCAGTCAGTCAGCTACAATGTAGGACCAGGCACACACGTGCATCGGTCCAAGTTGCCATACTTCATTAACACAACAAGATGAACACCGGATTCATAAAAGTACTTAATTCAGTGGCAGTAATACATAAAAGAAAGATTGCATATAAGAATATAGTACAGGAAGAAAGAATTAGTTCGTAGAAAGAAAGACATGGAGCAATTTTAATCTCATGGTTTAAGGGACGACAGAGAGTGTATACAACCATGCCACTGTGGTCGATTCTGAGCCATGTCACCCAGTCTCCAACCATTGGTTACGATAGTGACGCGAACCCCAACCAAGTAGTCTACATCTACCAACATGGCTAGGGCTAGAAGTTAGTGACTTCAAGGACTGATGCCACGTTTTGGTTTGGCCTCCCCTAACTTTCTCCCAACCATCCCCTACACTAGTCAGCATTGCGCATCGTGGAAATCGGTGTTCAGGCATGCGTAACACGTGATCCAACCATCTCAAACGATGAAGATTCACAACCTATTGATGATATGGTTCTGTTTGATAAAGGCGTTGACAAAATACAGTCCTCTGATCATTTTGAGTGAAAATGCAAGCACGCTTGGGATGCAGTTCTCGCCCACTAAATGTGAAATGATACTTCAGGATTGGCTTGCGTCAGGGCCTGAATTAATGACAGAAAGTGAAGTAGTTGAATACATCGAGCACTTTACTTACCTTGAGAGTCTGGTGCCTGGTGAACTCTTAGCACGTATCAATAAAATTCAATTGGCTTTCCCCAACTTGAGTTACTTGTGGCGTAGGCGAGTTATCTGTCTTCTAACCAAAGGATGAGTTTGCTGCGCAGCGGTTCTCTACGTTCTACTTTATGGATGCGAAACATGGCCATTAAGAGTAGAGTATATTCGTAGATTTTTTATATTCGATCGTAGGCATCTCGTGTATTTCGAGACCACCGAGTAAGCAATACCTGGGTTAATAATAGGGCACTAGGTAAGGTTGTCAAATAGGTTGATGACTGACAGAAAATCTTCATCAACTGAGGTGGTTGTGGCATGAGTAACATATACTCAATAACTCACTACCTCGATGGATGGTGTTGTGGTTTAGGAGTAGACTGGAGGTAATCTGAGGAGAAACAAACCAAAACATGGCTGCAGTCTGTGAAGTCCCTAACAGTATAACTGGACTATGTTATTAGGTGTAGACTGCCTGGTTGAGATTCATGTGATTTTCGTGACCAGTGGTCGGAGACTTTGAATGACACAGTTCAAAATCGTTTGCTATGTCGCAGGTGTATCCATTATTTTTCTTCCCTTAAATTTTGAGCTTCTGAATTCCCTATAACCTTTTCTGTTTTCACTTCACTAACTTATATTCTCTTGAACCGTGCCTTCGATGTCTAATCATTTCTATCAACACTCATACTGCTACTACCTCTACTATTCTGAGACTTGACCTGTGCTAATGGGTATAGTAACTTGGACCGATGTACAAACATGGCAGGTTCTACGTTGTGACTGACAACAATATGTTATAACAGTTCTAATTAGGCCAGAAGCTTAGCATCAAGTTTCAAATATAGTCCCTTAATAGTTCTATTATACCCCACACATGTTAAAAAGGAATCGCTGAACGAATTTTTGATGAATCAGAATTATACGTTTTACAATTTTCGCTGAAACTATCAACAAAGATTAAATATGTTAATAATATGCACATTGCAAAAAGTAGTCAAATAAAGACAAATAAAAAATATTTCAGCTGCATCCGTTTAACCTTTGTATATTATCTAATCGAGTAAGAAAAAAAATCTTGAAAACACAACTGAAATAAAATACGATATAAAGTAGCATTAAAAAAAGTCAATAAATTGACTTCAAAACTGTCACTTAGTGTTTCGTGTTTTATTTTGATGAAAGTACAAATAATATCTTGCTATGTAACTACACAGTAAAAAGATAACATATATAAAATATAACATATGAAATCATGGGCACAAACATATACATATGGCACGGTTATTAAACACGTTTACGATCAGTAAGGACACGCATAATAGAACCGGCTTTGCCGTAAGTATACACCTGAGGAAAAAACGGTGAGACATTTTATTAAGAACAAAAATTCAGGATACAATCGTATAAGCCACGTTAATGTATTTAGTTCAATAACAACCAACAGGAAATTAGTATGTTTTCTTTAAATTTCAATGTTAGGATGAAGTACAATTACGTGTAGAACTGTCAAACACACCAACCACTGAGATCAATCAACTGAATGACATTTTTCTTGATCATTTTAACAAACTTATGATATCTAACTCGCGCAATATTACAACAACAAAATAACAGAAATTACTTTTCCATTGCTTAAACGGAGGTAAATAAAGTAGCTGTCAAAGTATGCCCTGGTACGGCCGAGAGTAGGGAGAGTCCGCTCTCCCTCTCGAAATACTCTCACACGGCCGCGCGTATACAGCCTCTGCCAGGGAAGTCCTACTCATTGCCTTCTCGTGGCGGGGGTGTTGTTTACGAAAATAAGAGGACGAAAAGCGAATGTCCGGCGCTTTAACCGGATCACAAACCAATGGTGCACATGAGCTCCAGTATCCTGCGGGAACAAATGGCGTATGAACCAATCGTTGGTCACCGGCTACCATGGGATTGCATCTCCTTACGATGCTCCACTGCCTTGTGGGTTAGACCTTTAGGTCAAAGGCTCGGGGTGTGGCCCCCTAAGATAACCACCTGCTTCGGTTTGGGCACCCGGGCAGTATCACAGCCCACACACAAATGATGAACTCTTTATGTCTATGAAAATTACTTTTCTCGCTTCGAAAAACAATCAATTGATTCAAATTATTATCATTACAATTATCGTCATTATTAATCCTATTATTATTATTACTATTATTGTCATTATTAATCTATTATTATTATTACTATTATTGTCATTATTAATTATTATTATTATTATTATTATTATTATTATTTTCCACATTATTCACCCTCTTTTATACTTATACAGCGGCTCGTCTTTGGTGGAAATTCGACTGTATCTAAACGTTCTCGAGTCACTGTCCGGTTGAAAATTGTATGTTACCACCGAATACGAGAACTGAAGCAGTTTTTCTGAAACCACGTGCACCATTCAAACTGGCTGCCTTCAACGTTCGCACATTTATGCAGGTCGGACAACAGATAGGGCTGGCTATGTCTTTGGAAAGTCTTAATATCGATGTCTGTTGTCTATCCGAGACCCGTATTCAAGACTCTGGCGAAGTACTACAAATTCGATCTCCATCTGTCGCTTCGAAAAGCTTGTTTTACGTGCGCTTATCCGGGGACCCTGTGGCATCTTCGTCTGGTCTTGCTGGCGTTGGTGTCGCACTAAGCGCTAGAGCTGAGGCAGCACTAGTCGATTGGATCCCCATTAACAGTCGGTTATGTGCTGTTAGATTAGAAAGTTCCATCAAAGTGAGAAGAAATCGGCGTGAGAAACGATGTCTTTTCGTCATCTCCGCCTATGCCCCGACAGATTGCAGCCCGGATGCAATCAAGGATGAGTTTTACCACCAGTTATCTGTTCTTCTCCAGAAAGTGCGTTCGACAGATATTGTAGTACTAGCCGGAGACTTGAATGCTCAGGTCGGGCGTCTAGGCACAGAAGAGAGTCGTTTAGGTGGCCGATGGGGACTCGTTGGTCGCAGGTCAGATAACGGGGACCGTCTACTGCAACTTTGCACAGACCACAACCTGTTTCTGGCTAGCACTAACTTTCGGCACAGTCATCGCCGATGTGCCACCTGGCGTCCTCCCTCTGCATCTCAAGCCTGGACTCAGATTGATCACATCGCGATCAGCTACCGCTGGCGTGGTTGTGTACAAGACTGCCGCTCCTTTTGGAGTACCTATCTGGACTCTGACCATGCCTTGGTCTGCGCCAATCTTGCCTTACTTTTCAGTGGACAACGAAGTGACCGCCATCAACGGATTGATGTTAGCAAGCTGGTTGCAACTTCTGTTGCAAGTAAGTATCGAACCGAGCTAGCCTCTAGGCTAGCTACCACTCCACCGAAAAGTATAGATGAGCATTGGTTGCAATTGCATGACGCCATGAAAATGGCGGGAACAGTCAGTTGTGGGTTTGCGAAACGTCCCGCTTTAAGCACTGGGTTTCTTCTGGTTCCTTACAACTCATTGAAGCCCGTCGGTCTACTCCGGGTGACCGTGAGTTTGACCATAAACGAAGGATGTTACGTAAGGAAATTGGGCAAAGCTTGCGTAAGGACCGAGAAGCCTGGTGGTCGATGCGTGCTAATGAGCTGGAAGCAGCAGCTGCATCTGGTAACTACCGGAAGCTCTTCCAGCTCATCCGAGCCACTGGCAGCAAGAAGTCTGGTGTGAGTGAAACAATCTGCGAGGATGATGGGATGCCAATCACTAACATCCATCGACGTCTTGGACGATGGGCAGAATTTTTCGAAGGGCAGTTCAACTGGCCTGCTGCTCCGGCAACATCGGTCAGACTGTCCTGCCCTCCATGGCCGGTGACGACTGATCCACCAAACGAGGAGGAAGTCCGCAAGGAACTCCAACTCTTGAAGCGTTACAAATCACCTGGCCCAGATGACTTACCTCCGGCTCTTTTTAAAGATGGTGGTGACTTTTTGACTAAGGAATTGACGACGTTGTTTACAAAGGTTTGGGAACTAGAGAGTGTACCAACGTCATGGAATGAGTCGATAGTTGTCCCTATCTTTAAAAAGGGTTCACGTCGTTCCTGTAACAACTATCGGGGGATAAGTCTACTTCCGATTGCGTCCAAGCTATTGGCTTCCGTCATACTTCGTAGGTTGTTCAAAACCCGAGAAAGATTGACTCGCGAGGAGCAGGCTGGGTTTCGTTCTGGTCGAGGATGTATTGATCATATCTTCACCCTCCGCCAAATGTTAGAACACCGCCATACTTTTCAAAGGCCAACAATCGTAGTGTTTCTTGACATCAGGGCTGCCTTCGATTCGTTGGACAGGACTGTTCTCTGGGATTGTCTATTGAAGAAGGGTGTGCCTGAGAAGTTTATTAACATCCTAAAAGCCCTGTATAAAAACACCTCAGGCAGAGTGAGGGCATACAACCACCTCTCTCCATTGTTCCATTCGAGCAGTGGGGTTAGGCAGGGTTGCCCAATCTCACCATTCCTTTTCAACATCGATGACATTCTGGAAACAGCTCTGATGAATGTAAGTAATGGTGGTGTGGATCTGTTGCCTGGAGAAAGACTTCTCGACCTTGAGTATGCGGACGATATTGTCTTACTGTGCGATAATGCCCAAGGCATGCAATCCGCACTTAATCAGTTGGCAATCAGTGTCCGTAGGTATGGTATGTGCTTTGCACCTTCGAAGTGCAAAGTACTTCTACAAGACTGGCAGGATTCTAATCCTGTACTCACCCTGGATGGTGAGCAGATAGACGTAGTTGAGAAGTTCGTGTATCTGGGTAGCTGCATAAGTGCTGGTGGGGGTGTGAGTGATGAGATCAATGCACGAATAGTGAAAGCCAGAGCGGCTTATGCCAATCTGGGCCACCTTTGGCGCCTTCGTGATGTTAGTCTGGCTGTAAAAGGTCGGATCTACAACGCGTCGGTGAGAGCAGTTTTGCTCTATGCTTGTGAAACCTGGCCTCTCCGAGTTGAGGACGTTAGACGACTCTCTGTGTTCGATCATCGCTGTCTCCGAAGGATTGCTGACATTCAGTGGCAACACCATGTCAGTAATGCAGAGGTTCGGCATCGTGTGTTCGGGCACAGAGATGATAATTCAATTGGTGTCACCATCTTGAAACACCGACTTCGGTGGCTTGGACATGTTCTCCGAATGTCGTCCCAGAGAATTCCACGTCGTGCATTATTTGCCGACTCTGGGACTGGTTGGAAGAAGCGGAGAGGTGGTCAGTGCATGACATGGTGTCGTGGCATGAAAGAAAGCTGCAAAGGACTGGCTTGTGTTGGTCCTTCACGACTCCCTGGTTGGGGTCTGAGAGATGGTGCTACACAGTGGCTAGAGACGTTATCAGATATGGCTCAGAATAGAAGCCAGTGGCGATCCTGCTGTAACCTTCTTTTACTTTCTTCATAAAAAGTGGTTGTGTCTCCCTTACCTGAAAGATTTCTTCTGATTGTACCTTTCCTTTCCCTCATTACTACCACACTACCTTACACCAATCTCTTCGTTATTGTTCTCTTTTTTTGCGCTCCTTAGCTTTTTTTTCCATTTCTCTTCGAATTCTCATTGTTTTGTGTGGCGCATATATATTGGCGCTCTCTTGTACCAATATTCATGTGTCCAAATAAATAAATAAATAATGGTCTAATGGTTGAGTAACAATTATTTGAACAGCGCAGTCATATTAACATTACTTTTCCCCAAGACGTCAGATAGTCGTCATCAAGCTTATTAGTTTTATTATCATGTGATTAAGTGCTTATTGATTAATTTGATCAAAAATCACACTATATCAAGAACTGTGTTGAGTTTCATAGCGTTACTGGTTAAAATAGGAAATTATTCTAGATTCTCTTACTTTAAGTGACTTTTTGCAGCATTTTAGGTGGTCACTTCTTATGAACAAACTAAATATGCTCATCTGCAAACGATACACACGGAGAAGAATAGGAATCATGTTAAAGCACATTGAATATATACCAAAACTGTAATCCATGTTGGGAAAAACCGAATACTGGGATAAATTATGAAGATTTGATAACATAAATCTTTAGTAATGTATGTTATTACTTTACTTAGTCTACGGAAAATCAAAAATTCAATCGTTTGGTAAACTTAACCTATTTTGGAGACCAGTACTTTCAAGTCACACTAGATACCATTATCGGTATAACTACCGAGATAATTCTACTATGGAATTGTTAACAACTAGTGGATTAACATAACTGCATACAAAATATATTAACCAGTTAATTTCAAACTAAATATTATTTTTTTAAACAATCACAGTGTATATAACAGATTTTAATCGTACCTTTTCATGCCATGTCAACAGTGTTGAACAACTTATCTCTTGTGGTTGTTCGAATCCACGATAAATGTATTTCATAAGTAAATCAATTTTATCTTGATCCATAGATGACAAAAATTCATCAATATTTTGGTTGGATTTAAATTGTGATAGCAAACGCATCATCAATTTGAATACTGTATCCTTAGTTTGTGATCTTTTGAATTAATTGGTGCATTTTGTAATATGTTCAAAATAGCATCTGTAGACTTTCCACTCGAGATAAACTATTGATTTCAGAAATATTCAACCTAGACGGTTTAATATCCTCCGTTAATTCATCCTGAAATGTTGGTTCAGTCAACTGGTCAACATTCACCATTCGAAATTTCGTATTTCCGGTATTTATAGCCATTTATAACGGAGAAGGGAAAAGAAATATAATGACCAAACAGCTAATTAGAGCGACGATTTCACAGTAGAATATGGATGCACAGAAAGTGGATGTAGAATGCGGTAAACGATATCTTAAAATTTTCAAAATAAATGAAAATAAAAAGATCAATATACTTAGCAATCGACCAATGATTTCTGGATGAAATGTAGGTCATGTAATAAAAAAACTTAAATGAAAATATATATAACGACCATATTATTGATATATTTTAGAAGAGAATAGTTTACAAATAAGAAAAATCACAAACTGGAAGGACTAAAATCATTTGGATTCTTTAGACAGATAATCAGTAATGTTCTAAATTGCTGTCATTTTACAGTCACTCAGTTACTGCCGCACTGATACACTGGCAACCCTCGAAGCTTACTCTGCTAAGGTATTATACCGAATATCATTGCGAATTACTGAAGAGTGAGGGTTTCCAAGATAAACTAGGTGGTTGTGAGAATACAGATCGATCCGATAAAATTTAATATCCCAAATATGAGACACAGAGAACTCATTCTTAAAAATAACCATTCCTTACTATTATATTACAATGTACGGACACGTACACATTCCATTCAATAGTTAGTCATATGATCCTTTATTTAGTTATTCGTTCATTTGAACGCAGATATTGGTACAATGGAGCACAAAATACAAATGTGCCATACAATAATGTGGTTCTGAAGAGATGGAGGATACAAAGTGCTTATAATAAAAAGAAAAGCAACAACGAACAGAAATCGAATGCCCTGGTACGGCCGAGAGTGGGGAGAGTCCGCTCTCCCTCTCGAAATACTCTCACACGGCCGCGCGTATACAGCCTCTGCCAGGGAAGTCCTACTCATTGCCTTCTCGTGGCGGGGGTGTTGTTTACGAAAATAAGAGGACGAAAAGCGAATGTCCGGCGCTTTAACCGGATCACAAACCAATGGTGCACATGAGCTCCAGTATCCTGCGGGAACAAATGGCGTATGAACCAATCGTTGGTCACCGGCTACCATGGGATTGCATCTCCTTACGATGCTCCACTGCCTTGTGGGTTAGACCTTTAGGTCAAAGGCTCGGGGTGTGGCCCCCTAAGATAACCACCTGCTTCGGTTTGGGCACCCGGGCAGTATCACAGCCCACACACAAATGATGAACTCTTTATGTCTATGAAAATTACTTTTCTCGCTTCGAAAAACAATCAATTGATTCAAATTATTATCATTACAATTATCGTCATTATTAATCCTATTATTATTATTACTATTATTGTCATTATTAATTATTATTATATTACTATTATTGTCATTATTATTATTATTATTATTATATTATTATTATTATTTTCCACATTATTCACCCTCTTTTATACTTATACAGCGGCTCGTCTTTGGTGGAAATTCGACTGTATCTAAACGTTCTCGAGTCACTGTCCGGTTGAAAATTGTATGTTACCACCGAATACGAGACTGAAGCAGTTTTTCTGAAACCACGTGCACCATTCAAACTGGCTGCCTTCAACGTTCGCACATTTATGCAGGTCGGACAACAGATAGGGCTGGCTATGTCTTTGGAAAGTCTTAATATCGATGTCTGTTGTCTATCCGAGACCCGTATTCAAGACTCTGGCGAAGTACTACAAATTCGATCTCCATCTGTCGCTTCGAAAAGCTTGTTTTACGTGCGCTTATCCGGGGACCCTGTGGCATCTTCGTCTGGTCTTGCTGGCGTTGGTGTCGCACTAAGCGCTAGAGCTGAGGCAGCACTAGTCGATTGGATCCCCATTAACAGTCGGTTATGTGCTGTTAGATTAGAAAGTTCCATCAAAGTGAGAAGAAATCGGCGTGAGAAACGATGTCTTTTCGTCATCTCCGCCTATGCCCCGACAGATTGCAGCCCGGATGCAATCAAGGATGAGTTTTACCACCAGTTATCTGTTCTTCTCCAGAAAGTGCGTTCGACAGATATTGTAGTACTAGCCGGAGACTTGAATGCTCAGGTCGGGCGTCTAGGCACAGAAGAGAGTCGTTTAGGTGGCCGATGGGGACTCGTTGGTCGCAGGTCAGATAACGGGGACCGTCTACTGCAACTTTGCACAGACCACAACCTGTTTCTGGCTAGCACTAACTTTCGGCACAGTCATCGCCGATGTGCCACCTGGCGTCCTCCCTCTGCATCTCAAGCCTGGACTCAGATTGATCACATCGCGATCAGCTACCGCTGGCGTGGTTGTGTACAAGACTGCCGCTCCTTTTGGAGTACCTATCTGGACTCTGACCATGCCTTGGTCTGCGCCAATCTTGCCTTACTTTTCAGTGGACAACGAAGTGACCGCCATCAACGGATTGATGTTAGCAAGCTGGTTGCAACTTCTGTTGCAAGTAAGTATCGAACCGAGCTAGCCTCTAGGCTAGCTACCACTCCACCGAAAAGTATAGATGAGCATTGGTTGCAATTGCATGACGCCATGAAAATGGCGGGAACAGTCAGTTGTGGGTTTGCGAAACGTCCCGCTTTTAAGCACTGGGTTTCTTCTGGTTCCTTACAACTCATTGAAGCCCGTCGGTCTACTCCGGGTGACCGTGAGTTTGACCATAAACGAAGGATGTTACGTAAGGAAATTGGGCAAAGCTTGCGTAAGGACCGAGAAGCCTGGTGGTCGAAGCGTGCTAATGAGCTGGAAGCAGCAGCTGCATCTGGTAACTACCGGAAGCTCTTCCAGCTCATCCGAGCCACTGGCAGCAAGAAGTCTGGTGTGAGTGAAACAATCTGCGAGGATGATGGGATGCCAATCACTAACATCCATCGACGTCTTGGACGATGGGCAGAATTTTTCGAAGGGCAGTTCAACTGGCCTGCTGCTCCGGCAACATCGGTCAGACTGTCCTGCCCTCCATGGCCGGTGACGACTGATCCACCAAACGAGGAGGAAGTCCGCAAGGAACTCCAACTCTTGAAGCGTTACAAATCACCTGGCCCAGATGACTTACCTCCGGCTCTTTTTAAAGATGGTGGTGACTTTTTGACTAAGGAATTGACGACGTTGTTTACAAAGGTTTGGGAACTAGAGAGTGTACCAACGTCATGGAATGAGTCGATAGTTGTCCCTATCTTTAAAAAGGGTTCACGTCGTTCCTGTAACAACTATCGGGGGATAAGTCTACTTCCGATTGCGTCCAAGCTATTGGCTTCCGTCATACTTCGTAGGTTGTTCAAAACCCGAGAAAGATTGACTCGCGAGGAGCAGGCTGGGTTTCGTTCTGGTCGAGGATGTATTGATCATATCTTCACCCTCCGCCAAATGTTAGAACACCGCCATACTTTTCAAAGGCCAACAATCGTAGTGTTTCTTGACATCAGGGCTGCCTTCGATTCGTTGGACAGGACTGTTCTCTGGGATTGTCCTTACGCAAGCTTTGCCCAATTTCCTTACGTAACATCCTTTGTTTATGGTCAAACTCACGGTCACCCGGAGTAGACCGACTGGCTTCAATGAATTGTAAGGAACCTGCAGAAACCCAGTGCTTATAAGCGGGACGTTTCGCAAACCCACAACTGACTGTTCCCGCCATTTTCATGGCGTCATGCAATTGCAACCAATGCTCATCTATACTTTTCGGTGGAGTGGTAGCTAGCCTAGAGGCTAGCTCGGTTCGATACTTACTTGCAACAGAAGTTGCAACCAGCTTGCTGATATCAATCCGTTGATGGCGGTCACTTCGTTGTCCACTGAAAAGTAAGGCAAGATTGGCGTAGACCAAGGCATGGTCAGAGTCCAGATAGGTACTCCAAAAGGAGCGGCAGTCTTGTACACAACCACGCCAGCGGTAGCTGATCGCGATGTGATCAATCTGAATCCAGGCTTGGGATGCAGAGGGAGGACGCCAGGTGGCACATCGGCGATGACTGTGCCAAAAGTTATTGCTAGCCAGAAACAGGTTGTGGTCTGTGCAAAGTTGCAGTAGACGGTCCCCGTTATCTGACCTGCGACCAACGAGTCCCCATCAGCCACCTAAACGACTCTCTTCTGTGCCTAGACGCCCGACCTGAGCATTCAAGTCTCCAGCTAGTACTACAATATCTGTCGAACTCACTTTCTGGAGAAGAACAGATAACTGGTGGTAAAACTCATCCTTGATTGCATCCGGGCTGCAATCTGTCGGGGCATAGGCGGAGATGACGAAAAGACATCGTTTCTCACGCCGATTTCTTCTCACTTTGATGGAACTTTCTAATCTAACAGCACATAACCGACTGTTAATGGGGATCCAATCGACTAGTGCTGCCTCAGCTCTAGCGCTTAGTGCGACACCAACGCCAGCAAGACCAGACGAATATGCCACAGGATCCCCGGATAAGCGCACGTAAAACAATCTTTTTGAAGTGGCAGATGTAGAGCGAATTTGTAGTACTTCACCAGAGTCTTGAATACTGGTCTCGGATAGACAGCAGACATCGATATGAAGACTTTCCAAAGACATAGCCAGCCCTATCTGTTGTCCGACCTGCATAAATGTGCGAACGTTGAAGGCAGCCAGTTTGAATGGTGCACGTGGTTTCAGAAAAACTGCTTCAGTTCTCGTATTCGGTGGTAACATACAATTTTCAACCGGACAGTGACTCGAGAACGTTTAGGTAGAGTCGAATTTCCACCAAAGACGAGCTGCTGTATAAGTATAAAAGAGGGTGAATAATGTGGAAAATAATAATAATAATAGTAATAATAATAATAGGATTAATAATGACAATAATAGTAATAATAATAATAGGATTAATAATGACAATAATAGTAATAATAATAATAGGATTAATAATGACGATAATTGTAATGATAATAATTTGAATCAATTGATTGTTTTTCGAAGCGAGAAAAGTAATTTTCATAGACATAAAGAGTTCATCATTTGTGTGTGGGCTGTGATACTGCCCGGGTGCCCAAACCGAAGCAGGTGGTTATCTTAGGGGGCCACACCCCGAGCCTTTGACCTAAAGGTCTAACCCACAAGGCAGTGGAGCATCGTAAGGAGATGCAATCCCATGGTAGCCGGTGACCAACGATTGGTTCATACGCCATTTGTTCCCGCAGGATACTGGAGCTCATGTGCACCATTGGTTTGTGATCCGGTTAAAGCGCCGGACATTCGCTTTTCGTCCTCTTATTTTCGTAAACAACACCCCCGCCACGAGAAGGCAATGAGTAGGACTTCCCTGGCAGAGGCTGTATACGCGCGGCCGTGTGAGAGTATTTCGAGAGGGAGAGCGGACTCTCCCCACTCTCGGCCGTACCATGGCATTCGGGGGTCTTTTTTATTTTTAGCTATTTATGATAACGTCTGAAGATACTGTGTTGAGCTACCTCTAGGACCCCAACCAAGGAGTTGCAAAAGGACCAACAGGAGCCAATCCTGTACAGGTTTATTTTATACCACGAGACTATGTCGTGCATTAATAACCTCTCTGATTTTGCTAACCAGTCCCGGTGTCGGCAAACAATGC